TCGAATTCCAGCCCCTAAGGCAAGAATGGCTAAACCTTTTATGGATTTCAGTACCGTTGTTTCTTACACTGCTGACCACTTTTTACTCGCAGCTCTCTGATTCATTCATTCACTGCCGATTTGAGCGGGCCTGTCAGGCTTTTTGCACGTCAGCAGCTTTGTTCCATCCCTGGGGGAGACAGACAAGTTAATGCATAGTTAGACTGTGGTGGAGTGGAGTACAGCCGAGGGGATGATTAACTTTGTTTGGGGGTGGATTCTGGGAAAGCTTCAAAGAAGAGGTGTCACTCAAGCTGGATCTGGGAGGATGATTAAGATATTTCCAGACCTATGGGATGTGGAGAGGTGTGTGCAGAGGACAGAGGAGTGGGTTCTGAGGGTGTGATCAGGCCGTAGGGTAGGAGTAGATGGCTTCCTAGCACGTGGCTTGGGCCTGGGAGCCATTTCAGACTGGTTGTGCTGCTGTATGTACCGAGTGAGACGATGTTTATGAAAATGCTGCATGAGCTGCAAACACAAGGGGTAGCAGCGGGAGAGGAAGAGTGAATTCAGATCACAGAGAAAGCAGTTACGGGCCTCAGAAAAACTCATGGTCTGGCTGGGGAGGAAGGACACGGAAGCAGTGGGTGCCGTAAGCCAGGAGGCCACAAGTAGGTGTGATGGGTCCCAACATCTCAGAGCACCGGCTCCTCTTTCCTCCTGCATATTTAAGGACTTGTCTTCTAGAATTATTCTTTTCCCCTGCACTGTCCGTTGTTTCCTCTCCATAGGCTCATTTTCATCAAATACAAACATGCTCTAATATCTCCTATTTAAACAAACCAGGGGCACCTGGGTGGCTCAGTCAGTTAAGCTTCTGCCTTGGGCTCAGGTCATGATCCCAGGATCCTCGGATCGAGTCCCGCATCTGGGTCTTTGCTCAGCGGGGAGCCTGCTTCTCTTTCTGCCTCTGCCTGCCATTCTGCCTGCTTGTGCTCTCTCTCTCTCTCTCTCTCTCTCTCTCTCTCTCTGACAAATAAATAAATAAAATCTTTAAAAAACAACAAACACACCACGCCCCTTCCTTGAGACCACATCACTCTCCAAACGCCGTCCCCCAATTCCATGCATTCCCCTTGACATCAGAGCTCCTTGACAGAGTTATCAGTCCCAATGCTTCCCCTTCCCTTTCTTCCATTCTTCTGTGAGGCGCAAACCTTATCAGTTTCCCCCACTAGAATGTAGAGTCTGTGGCAGAGGGCAGAAGTTTTTGTCTGTTTTGTTCAGTGACAAATCTGCATTGCCTAGAACAGTAGGTGTTCAGTAAACATTGAGCTAATCCAGGATCTCTCTCTAGAACCCACTCCAATCTGGTTTATGTGTCCACAGCTCCTCCGAAGTGACTCTTGTGGTCAATGGTCAGATCTCAAGATCTGACTTGATCTGTCAGGGGCATTTCACACTGAGCAGTCCCACTGTCCTGAAACTTTCCTCCTGTGTCCTCCAGAAGTTCAGACTCTTCTGGATTCCCTCTGACTTGAAGGCAGGCTCTTTTACCAGATCTTCCTCTAACCAACCTATAAATCTTGGTGAGCTCCAAAGCTCCTACATGTTTCTTTATACTCAGTTCTGTGCTTTTCAATGCCAGCTATCCACGACGGCTGTCCAGTTTACATCTCCAACCCAACCTCACCCCTTATTTCTACAATATGTTTCGTGAGAGCACTTTTGTCTGGTTTGAGAATGTATTCCCAGAGCACAGAATGGAGCTGACACCTAGTTGGCCCTCCAGTGTTTGCTGAAACAAGGGCAACAAACCTGAGCAGAAGAACATTCCCCTGGCCTCCCTTTCTGGACACCCCCAAAACATGTGAGAGGTTCTGAAACAGGAACGGAGTTCTTCCAGGAGTAACCACATGCACTCTCAGTGACTGCCAAGGTTTTGAATAAAAAGATTGACTCTATCTAAAAGAACTCAAAAGTGGTCCAAGTACATCAGCTGTGAAAAGCAAAATAATTAGAATTGAAATTCAGGGAATTCTATTTTACAATCTTAACAAAGGGAAACACACCTTGGTTTGAATATTGCCTTCATTAATCAGGTTATATATCTAGTCTTCACCTACTTGATGATATAATACAGAGGATGGACTCTCTGTTTTAGAGAGGAAAAGCTGGAAAGTAAATGAGTACACAGGAACGGCAGGTGGGAGGAGGTGGGAGAGACAGCAGCCCCCCTCCGCTAGCAGGCAGCTTCTATGTCATCAGAAGTTACCCAGCTCCCTGGAATTTCTTTTCTTTTCTTTTTTTTTTAAAGATTTTTATTTATTTATTTGACAGAGATCACAAGTAGAGTGAGAGGCAGGCAGAGAGAGGTGGGGGAAGCAGGCTCCCTGCTGAGCAGAGAGCCCGATGCGGGGCTCCATGTGGGGACTCGATCCCAGGACCCTGAGACCATGACCTGAGCCGAAGGCAGAGCCTTAACCCACTGAGCCACCCAGGCACCCCTGGGATTTCTGTTAAAAGGGAGTGAATTGGTATTTATTGAAGGCTTGCTGCTACCAAGACTTTGCCCATTTTTTGCATGTGATATTCACTAGAACCCTTTGAGACAGATATCATTACTGTATTTATTTTACACACGAGTAAACTGAGGCTTCAGTCAGGTAAGTTTCTTATTCAGAGCCCCACGTGTTAAGCTCTGGAGCTGAGTTTCTTTTTCTTTCTTTCTTTCTTTTTTTTTTTTTTTTAAGATTTTTTTTTTTTTACAGACAGAGATCACAAGGAGGCAGAGAGGGGGGGGGGGGGGGAGCAGGCTCCCCGCTGAGCAGAGAGCCCTATGCGGGGCTCGATCCCAGGATCCTGAGATCATGACCTGAGCCAAAAGCAGAGGCTTAAGCCACTGAGCCACCCAGGCACCCCTGGAGCTGAGTTTCACACTGTCTTAAGTCTGTCTTGAGCTGAGGCCATGTTTTCCTTTAACTTTATGCCACAAGCCATTGTCAAGGACTGTCAACACCTTACAGCAACCAGGAATCAATCACACACCCAGAGCTTTTTATTAACAAGTTGAAATTACTGAAATCCAACACAGATTTATTTAGCACCTACTGTGTGCAGGCACTGTTCCAGGGGCTGGCTCTATAGCAGGGAACAAGACGGATAAAAGTCTTTGCCTTTATGGAACTTAGATTTCTATAGGGATGACTGATGACACACAAATAAGTAAATGAAGATCATTACTGATTATAATGAAGGATGCAAAGGAAAGAAACACAGTAATGGGATGAGCAGTAGTAGATGGGTGAGGAGTGTGCTGCTTTAACTGAGTGGCCAGGAAAGACCTCTTCTGAGGAAGTGACCACTGAGCTGAGGCCTGGAGCATGGAAAGCAGGTAGCCAAGCAGAGAGCTTGGGGAGGAGCATTCTAAGCAGAGTTTAGAACAAGGATCAAGGGCTCTGCAGTGAACATGTTTGTTAGTGAGTGAAGGAAACCAGTATTTGTCAGGGGTGGAGAACAGGTGGTGGAGGATGAGGTCAAAGGAAAACAGGGGTCAGATTCTATAGGGTAAACCTCTTTGATTTTATTCTAAGGGCAGTGGAGAGCCATGGAAGAATTTTAGGTAGGGAAATTATGTGATTTGGTTTACATCTTTTTTTTTTTAAGATTTTTATTTATTTATTTGACAGAGAGAGAGAGACAGTGAAAGAGGGAACACAAGCAGGGGGAGTGGGAGAAGGAGAAGCAGGCTTCCTGCTCAGCAGGGAGCCCGATGTGGGGCTCCATCCCAGGACCCTGGGATCATGACCTGAGCCAAGGCAGATGCTTAACCACTGAGCCACGCCCCTGTTTTACCTTTTTAAAGCTTTCTCTTACTGGAGAATAAACTGTAGGAGGCAAGAGAAGAAAAAGGGAGATGAGGTAGGAGGCAGTTTCTGAAGTCCAAGGAGAGCTGATGGGAGTTGGGACTTGCAAGGCAGCAAGGAGATGGAGAGAAGTCAGACTCTGAGAGGTGTTTTGCAAATAGAGCCGACAGGCCAATTATAATATCTGTAAAGTTTTGCTGTCCAGTACAGTAACTATGGCCACTGTGACTATTTAAATTTAATTTAAATTAAGATTTAAAAAATTCAGTTCTTCATTCACACTAGCCACATTTCAGGTGCTCAGGAACCACATGTGGCTAGTGGCTACTAGTGTGTTGGACAATGTAGGCATAAGACATTTACATCATCACAGAAAATTCTCCTGGACAGTGCTGGTAAGCCACTAGGACAGTGGCCAATAAGTTTTAGGAGTTAAGTAAATGATAGATATTTATTAAGTATAGTTGTTACATTGTTAGGTCTTTTTCCCCCATATATTTACTTATCCATCCACCTCTTTATTAAATATTCTTGTCCTTGCTTTATTATATGGAAGAGTCACGCACTATCTGGGTTCTTGAAGAGCACGTCTTTGCTTTTCACATGTGTGCATTTGTTCAGCGGACCTTCTAGTGCTCACTCTGTGCTTAGGGTTGGAAGGATTGCGGCCAGGGGGCATCAAAGAATGTGATTGGGAAAATGACCTCCCAGGAAAATGGACCTTAAGAGTGAGAGTGAATTTGGTACTTGAGGGCTCTAAGTCCCCACAGGAAGAAGAGTCTAGTGGGGCTGGAGGTGGGGCTTGAAAAGAGGGGAGTTTGGACATAGCCTGAGCTCTGTCGTTGGCAGCTGGCCAGACAGAACCTTGGCCTGAGACCTACTCCCAGAGTCAGTTGTGTACCTATACATCACAGTTTACAAAGCACCCTCACACATGCCCATCTTCCAGTCCGGGGGAGAGGCAGGGCCTGGCCAGAGCCCTCACCTGGGTGACCTGGTTAGAACCAGGAGCCAGACTTAGTGTTGGTCTCCTAAGACACCGTGCTCTCCTCAGGGCTGAGGCTTTTCTCTACAGGGTGACCAGCTCCTCCTCAAAGAAGGCTCTTCCCTCCCTGATCACCATGGGGGTCGTGTTCAGCTTGTAGGCCTACCAGGATGGAGGGGAATGCCGAAATGGAGATGCTGAGGACACTGAAGGGGCCCTCCACAGGAGAGGTCAACGTGCACCTGGTGGCCAGAGACAGCCCAGGTTCCAGCTCTCACCTGCCTACTACCGCCTTCATCATCCCAGGTGGGCCAAGCCAGGGGCCTGGGGGGAGGAGCAGCCCCACACCTGCCTAAGCAGGTGTGGATCCCGAGAAGGACATACTTTCACCTGCCTACACACATGCATGGGCCAGGGCCGCCAGGCTCACCTGTGTCATGTCTGTTTGTGTATTTGTTCGTAGCTGGCTCGGCCACCCTTGGCCTGCCCAGCAGTGCCCTGGATGTTTCCTGTTTTCCACGGGAGCCCATCCATGTGGGCACTCCGGAGCGAGTGGCGGGCAGCGTACCTGTCACGGCCACCGTTCTGCCGCAGTTAAGCCCCGGGCCTGCGGCCAGCTCCGGCACCACCTCAGTGCGGCTCCTGGAGTGGACGGAGGCCGTGGCCCCGCCTCCTGGGAGCGGCCTGCGGGTCAGTGTCTGTGGGGATTGGCGGAGGGGCCGGCGAGGGGCACTTGTGGGGCGGGGCCAGCGGGCCGGAGGCGGGGCCCGAGGGGAGGGAGGAGGAAGGAGCCTGCGATGGAGGGTTCTGGGCTATGGCTTTGACTGAGGGACTCTAGGGGCATGGCTTGGGTGGAGGCGCTGGGAGTCTGGCGGGCTGCTGGGGGCGTGGCTTGGAGCGAGGCACCCGGAGCCGAGCCTTGCAGAGTAAGACTGCCGGAGGGGACCTTGCCCGTCGGAGGTGGGTCGAGGGGGTGCGGGAGTCCCGTCCTCAGACCCTCCCACGCTGCAGTTCCGGATAAGCGAGTACGCACCGCTGAACATGGTAGGAGCGGAGCAGCCCCCGAGTCCAGAGCTACGGCCCGAAGGTGTGGCCGAATATGAAGATGGCGAGGCCCCGGCGGGAGGTGGCGATGCGGGCACCCAACAGCCGGGTAGGACCCCCCAGTCCCCAGGCTGGGGCCCTGCCCGGGTGGGGCATGGCCCAAGCTCCCTAAGGAGTATCCATGGGGCGGCAGGGGGAGGATGGGGTGGGTGACCTGGGTTCTGCGGGTGCGCCCAGGGGTTGGTCCTGAGATGGCGAAGACTGTGGGGGTAAGGTCCTGGGAAGCCTGAGGGGGCGTGGGCTCTGAGATGGGCGGAGCCTGAGTGTGGTTGTGTTGGACGGGAGGTCTGAGGCCCCTTTGGCCCCCACAGCGGACCTCCCCCAGGATCCTCCAGAAGATTCCCCCCAGGATCCCCCAGAAGATGATGGCACCTGTCAGTGCCAGGAGTGTGGACCTCAGCAAAGCGCGGTTCCAGATCCTGTTGGTTCCTCCAATGATGACTGCCCGCCGCTGTTCCAAGAGCGGTAAGGGGGAGGGGATTGCACCCCTACTTGCTCTGCTTTGGGGACCCCATTCCCCCTGTTCCGGGCTTAGGAGAGGGACTGGGTGGTGTAGGGTGGGTGGTTCTTTCTCTCAGGCCATCTGTCCCTCAGGTCAGTCATAGTGGAGAACTCCTCAGGCCAGAACTCCTGCACCAGCGCTTCTGAGCTTCTCAAACCCATGAAGAAGAGGAAGCGCAGGGAATACCACAGCCCCTCAGAGGAGGAGTCAGAGCCTGAGGCCTTGGTAGGAAGAGGGCTGTGGGGAGGGGAAGGGGAAGCTAGAGGCTACACGTCTATTCTCACTATCCTCTCCATTAATCAAGGCTGTGGGGCAGGGCCAGAGAAGACACATGATGACTCACTCATCCTATTTTGGGGTCCCGTTTTTAACTCAGGTCCTATACAGGGTTAGAGGAAAATGATTAAATCACCTTCCTTTTTTTCCTGGAGCTCGCATCTCAGTCTAGCATCAGGGCTAAGTCACATTCACATACACCAGCACCCAAGGAGATGAGTAGGCAGATGGAAAGCTCCATCACTGGAACCCTGTCACAAAGCCAGAGGCAGAGAAGGTTGCAGAGAAGCTGGAAGAGACAGAGCGTGAAAGTTCCAGTGGACGAGTAAGATCAACACACAGCAGGTCTGAGGAATGGAGAGGACTGTAGTCAGACTGTGTAACCAGGGGCTGTATGCTCATGTGAGTTTGTGCCCACGTGGTAGGGGGTTGCCCGCTGGAGCCATGCTCCTGCTGGTGACCTAGAAGAAATTCCACTTGTTTGGGGCAGAATATCATGTGACCAGAGAGCCAGGCAGGGGCCTGGAATAAGTCTGGGGCTTCACTCCAACCCGTGAGGACAGGAACAAGGCTTGCCTTCCACAGGAGAAGCAAGAAGAAGGAAAGGATCCAGAGGGACAGCCGGCTGCTAGCACCCCAGAGAGTGAGGAGTGCAACAACAGCCAGTCTGGTACGGCGTCTCCGGGTGTGTCTACGCTGCTGTAATGTGTGTATACATCTTTGGAGGTGTGAGGCTGGAAGTGTGAGTTACGTATGTGGTGGTGTGTTGTACATACAGAGAGGAGTATAAATTAGTGTATGTGTGAGGGAGAGAGAGAGAAAAATGAGACACGATGTTTCTGGTTTACGCATTAGTATATGTGTATTTGCGGAGGGATCGTATCATGTGCTTGTTTATCCTCTATTAGCCAGTCGTGACTGGGCCTCACAGCCAGGCTCAGAACCCAAAGACTCAAACAGCTTTTAATGGCGTCACATGGCATTGCTTCCCTTTGGTGGTGTGAGCAAGCTTGTGCTGGCCGTTGGTCTGTCCTTGCTATCTGAGCCCCCATTCTGGCCTTCTGGTTCTTAAAAAAAAGGGGGAAACAAAGGTCATTTATAGTCAGCTCTGGCCCTCAGGCCTTCTCCGTTCCCGTGTGACAACAGTCAGCTGGAGCTGAGTAACATTCATCACACTTGTAATCACGTAGGTAGTGTATAACAGCTTGTTTAATGTCTGTCTTCCTCCCTCAAAACTGAATTTATTTGATTAATCATCGTATCCTTGGTGCTTAGCTCAGCAACTGGTGTTACGTAGACTCTCAGTGTTTGCTCGGTTCAGGAATGCATGAGGTGTGTGTTGGTGATTCCACTCGGACTGTGACTCAGTTGCCTGAGTGACTGTCTTTCCTGTCTCAGAGAGAGCCAGAGGATGAGGTGAGTTCTTAGGACATTCTGCCTTGACAGATCCAGTACCAGCCAGAGGAACCCAGTCTATATCCTGGGCTCCGAACTCTGCAGTGTCTGTTAGAAATTCTGCCCATTGCAAGCAAACCAGATTTTCACTGTTGTCTCTCAACCCAAGGCTCTCACATCAGAAGCTGAAAGCATAGCTCTCATTGGTTTATGGCTTCTTAAATCTTACCTAGAAGAAGGAGACAGTCCAACCACCCAAGACAGTGGCTCAGCTGCTCTTACTTAGGGAATCCATTCATGAATCAGCATTCTTCTAGCTGGGTCCTGTTGGCCAGTATGGTTATCTTTTGATTCATACCTCTTGCCATCTCAATGGTAAATAAACATTGGTGTGGCATTGATTTCTGGATATTTTCCTCCTTGCATCTTTTTTCCTTTTTCCAAGGGAAGATACTCTATCAGTTGGCAGAAGTTTGCATGTATGGCTCAGTTTTTTTCCGGTTGTTTTTGGGGTCTTTTGGCAGAAGAATCTGGCATGAGGGGTAGGGGTAGCAGGGTTGTTTGAGTGTCCTGTGTGTGTGGAGAATCCATGTTACAGCTACACTCAGGCAGTTGGATGGCCAGCTCCTGGGTTCATGCTGAACGGCCTGATGTGTCTAGTCCTGACAGAATGTTCAGTAGTTCATGAGTTAGAGCCTTGTAACTCATGTATGCACTCGGGCTTTCTCTCTCTCATGTATCCACGTTACATTTTCAATGGCTGCTTCGTGTGAGGAATCTTTTCTAACACACCGTGGTCAAAGTCTTCACAATATATGTCGTCATTAATAGCTGTTTTGATATTCTCACGTCACCTCTCATTCTGCTGATGTCCAGATCAGGTATCTGTGGTGGCGTTCTTTAGGGTCAACCTGTTACAGTCTTTTCAGATTCAGAGCAGCCCCCCAAAATTCCTGTTCTGTCTCCCTTTAGTTACCTCAGACATATGTTTTTGCCCATTCTTTTTTTTTTAAAGATTTATTTATTTATTTTAGAGAGGTGGAGGGACAAAGGGAGAGGATGAGAGAGAATCTCAGGCAGATTCCCTGCTGAGCACGGAGCCCAGTGCAGGGCTCGATCTCAAGACCCCGAGCTCATGACCTGAGCCAAAATCCAGAGTTGGATGTTTAACCGACAGAGCCACCCGGGCACCCCACATTTTTATCCATTCTGAATTGGGTTGTTTATCTTCTTCCTATTCTTTATATATTCAGCATATAAGTCCTTTGTCAGATGTATATGTTACAAATATTTTCTCCCACTTTGTGGCTTGCTTTTTCCTTTCTAAATGATGGTTTTTGAGGAACTGAATGCTTTCATTTTGATGACGTCGACTTTATCCATTTTAAGCAGTTAGTGCTTCATACATAATTTTACAAAGTAGTGTCGAACAGCTTTATTGAGATGGAATTCACATACCATGTAATTCACCCATTTGACTTGTACAAATTCAGTGTTTTTTTAGTGTATCCACGGAGTTGTGCAACCATCACCACATTCAGTTTTAAAGCATTTTCATCATTCCAAAAAGAAGCCCTGTACCCATGAGCTGTCATTCACCCCAAACCACCATCCTCCTATAGTCCTAGGCAACCCCAAGTTCATTTTCTGCGGATATGATTTGCCTGTTCTGGACATTTCACATAAGTGGGATCATCTAATACATGGCCCTGTGTGACGGGCTTCTTTCACTTAGCCCCGTGTTTTTTGTTGTTGTTGTTCGTTGTTGTTTTTTCTTTTATTTGACAGACAGAGATCACAGGTAGACAGAGAGGCAGGCAGAGAGAGAGGAAGAGAAGCAGGCTCCCTGCCGAGCAGAGGGCCCGATGCGGGGCTCGATCCCAGGACCCTGGGATCATGACCTGAGCCGAAGGCAGAGGCTTTAACCAATGAGCCACCCAGGCGCCCCTTAGCCCCGTGTTTTAAAGGTTTATCCACATTTTAGCGTGCATCAGTATCTCATTCCTATTTACTGCTGAATGATAGTCCATTGTATGGATGTATCACACTTTATTTGTCAATCGATGGGTATATGGGTTCCTTCCACTTCAGGGCTATCATGAGTAGTGCTGGTAGGAATATCTGTGTACAAGTTTTTGTGTGGATATGTTTTCATTTTTCTTGGGTATGCACCCAGGAGTGAATTGCTGGGTCATGTGGTAACTCTACGTTTAGCTTTTTTTTTTTTTTTTTTTTTTTTTTTTTTT